CCGCCTGTGATCCTGCTTCCGCCCCGTCCGCAGGGACCATGCGCGGGGTAACGCGGAGCTGGCGCGGCTGCGGCCGGGGCTGGCTGTGCTGGGCGCGGACGAGCGCATCTGCGCGCTGACCCGCAGGCTGGTGCACGGCGAGGAGCTGCGGGTGAGCACCGGTCCGGGGGCGGGGTGGGGGGTGGGAATGGCGCCGCGGGCCCTCCCGCGTCACCAGCCGCTTGCCCCTCTGCGGCAGTTTGGGGCCATCCATGTGCGCTGTCTCCTGACGCCGGGCCACACCTCCGGCCACATGAGCTACTTCCTATGGGAAGAGGACTGTCCTGATCCGCCGGCGGTGTTCTCGGGTACTGGTCGCCCCACCCCACCAGCCCCACCTCCCTCTGACCCCGCCCCACCTTCCCTGACCTGCTCTCCTCCCCAGGGGATGCGCTGTCGGTGGGTGGCTGCGGCTTGCGCCTGGAGAGCACAGCTCAGCAAATGTATCAGAGCTTGGTCGAGACCCTGGGTACGCTGCCGCCGGAGACGGTGAGCCGGCATCCCTTGCCTTCCTGTAAGGTCCAGACTCCCTGCACAACCTCCACACTCTGTACCTGCCTTGTGCCAGGGATACAGAGTGAACCTTAGCCAAGGAGTCCAGGCAGATCAGGCCTGGGGTTCTGGGGTCCAGGGAGGGTCCAGGCCAGCCCCAGTGAGCGCCTTCCCCCATCACTGCCTGTGGCAGCACTGTGCACCCTCTGAGTGCCTCCTTTCTCCAGAAGGTGTTCTGTGGCCACGAACACACGCTGGGCAACCTTGAGTTTGCACAGAAAGTGGAGCCCGGCAATGACCACGTGAGGGCCAAGCTGTCATGGGCCAAGGTGCGGCCACTCCTCTGAATGGCAAGGTTTGGAGGGTGGATGAAGATTGGGACGGAGGAGGGGCACTGCAGGGGGAGTCAGGCATGACTGGCCTGGAGTGATCAGACCTGGCTTAGCCTTGAGTATCCTGCTGACTGAGGCTCCTATTGGTGAGGGGAGGGATTGGTGGCCTCGGACAAAGGGCTGGGCAGCTGGCAGAACTGACCCAAGGGTGGCTGCCCTCAAGTACTAGATGGGGCGAGGCAGTCCTTCTTCTGCTCCTGCCCCCAGGAAGGGGCGGGGCTGAGTGGAGCGGAGTTGTCTGGGGCTCTCAAGACAAGGCTGTGACAAGGGCCTGTGGTCATTCCAGAAGAGGGATGAGGACGACATGCCCACAGTGCCATCCACCCTGGGCGAGGAGCTCCTCTACAACCCCTTCCTAAGGGTGGCGTGAGTACTGGTCGGCATCCCAGGCCTTCTTGTGGGGGCCCCGTGCCCACTCCAGGGGCTGTCCCACCGAGCAGGCTGCCTGAGGGTCGGCCTGCTGGCCTTGAGCCCGACTCGGCAGCCACTTGGGCTCTGCAGGAGGTGCCAGGGAACTGGTTATTGGGCTGACTTGCACCAGGGAGAGGCTGCTCATGAAGTGTCCTCTGCCAGCACCCACCCGGCAGTGTCCCCAGGGAGAGTCCCCACGGCGCCCCCTCTCCCCGCAGAGAAGAGCCTGTGTGCAAGTTCACGGGGAAGGCGGCCCTGGCCGAGGTCCTGGAGGCACTCTGCAGGGAGCGGGCAAGCTTCGAGCGGGCGGCTGAGCCCCTGCAGCCGCAGGCCCGGGCTCTCCTGGCACTGCAGTGGGGGCCCTGAGCACACCCCAACAGAAGTGAGCCCCAAGTGGACCCACCGTGCGGCCCGGCAGCACATCTCTTCTCCTTCAACCCTCGGCACATTGAGCCCACAGGAGGGTTGCGTCTGGAACCTTCCATGGCCCCACCCAGCTGGCTGTCTGGCTTTGGAGGGTAGGCACCCTGGCAGGGGACATATGAGGCCCCTCTCTGGGGTGCATGTGAGCCCTGAGACCTGGGTGTTTGGGAAGCAGCCTAGCGGGGTGCACGGGGCTTTTGAACTTTGAATAAAGCTTTAAAAGACTTCTTTTTTGATGCTGGTGGATGCTCTCGGAGAGAAACCATCGGGAGAGAGATCCCTTTATTAGACTTGGAACTTGGTAAGGAAAGGCCTGTGGGTTCAGCCTGATCTGTCCTCTCCCCCACTCCTGTAAGTGGAGAAGGGACTTCGTGCCTAGTCTCAGCGGTCTCTCTCACAGACCCTGCTTCCCACCTGGAATTCTGCCCAGAGAACGCAAGCTGTCAGGTCCCAGAGGCCATGCCTGGCATCATCAGTGCCCAGTCCCAGGTGGGGCAGGTGCTGCACCCCAGCAGGGGGTGTCGCAGGCTGGGCGCCCTTCTCCTGCCAGCATTCTACGCCATCCAGCGCGGTAGGGTTCCTCACACTGGGCTCCAAGTTTGACCGGCCCGGCGGCGCTGCCCATCACCGTCCTTCACAGCCTGGCTTCGGTGGGAGCCTGGCTCCTGCTTTTGTTCTGCCTTGTGCAGCCCACGGGACCGGCTGAAACCCCCACACACTTGGGCCACAAGGCAGGAGTGGCCAGCACCCTGCTCGCAGAGCTGGGCCTGTGGGGAGGTTCTGGGACCTTGTGGACCATCTGACCTCCTGCAGTGGGCAGTCAGGACGAGCACACCTGTCCTGGCCATGGGTTCTGAGGCTCGTTTCCGTATGGGCTCCGGCACATCCCCACAGCTGACGTCCGTGTTTTGGGGGTGGTCCCCGGGAGTCCGGGTGCGGGCTGTGGCGGGCCTAGAAGGCTGGCGCGGAGGCCTCCTACCACCTGATGCCGAGGCTGGAGCTGGCCTTCTCCACCGCGTGGTAGCTTGTGTGCAGCAGGCGGCCAGCGCGCTCCGAGCCCTCGCCCTGCAGCCAGCACCGGTACAGTTCCTGGATGCCAGGTGCATCCTCCGGCGCCTCTGTCCTGACCATGCTATACAGCGTCTCCACGCGCTGGAGAAGCTCCTTGCCGGGCGTGTTGGGGGCCTTGAGCTGGCCTCCGCCGTTCAAGCAGCCTGTAGCAGAGCAAGACAGGTGAGCGCACGGTGACAGGGAGGATGCCTATACCGGGGAGTGGGGGAGGGGGGTTGGGAAGCACAGCACGACCCCTTCCCAAGACCCCTTCCCAACACCGGCCCTCCTGAGCCTCCTGACCCCCAGGCTCCGCCTCCACCCCTTCTGCCCTGCTGAGACACTGCCCACAGCCCTGGTCCTGGAAAGGGCCCCCGTGCCCTCTGGGAGAAGCGGGCCCCACCCCAGCTACCTGCGGGGCAGGCCATGACCTCCACATAATGGTACGGGCAGCGCCCTCGCTTGAGCTTCTGCACCAGGTTCTGGATGTTGCGGAAGCCATAGGCCGCGGCAAAGTGCAGCACGATTTGGCCCTCCTTTTCCAGGGTCACCTCCTGGAAGTCCTTGTTCCTGGGGGGAGCACAGGCCAGGCTCCCTCGGTACCCGCCCCTGCAGGCACGTCTGCCACCTAACCGGCTCCTCGGTGGAGGACGTGGAGGACAGGGATGCAAGGACAGGGTAGAAAGCTCGCTTCCGCCGTTAGGCAGGGGGCCTCAGTGTCCTGATCCTCCCTCCCAAGAATGGCAGTGAGGCGTGGCGAGGTCGCACAAAGCCCCCCGCCCTCCCTCCGTGGAAGGGAGCATTGTGTCGGGACACACCCTGTGCCAGGCGCGCCATCGCGGCCTTGGGGCTCCCACCCCCTGGGGTGTGGGCAGGGACGCGGACCGCTGGGTGGGGAGGCCGGTTCACGTGAGCGGGAGAGGAGGGCTGGTGCCCTGCGTCTTCCCCCACCCCAGCCTGCTGCCCTGTCCCCATGCTCCGGCCCTTCCCACTGACCTCAGGGGTCTGTAGGTGATCTCGTCCACGTGGATTCCAAAGAGCTCCCGGGCTGCGTGCTGGAACACGTGCTCCAGGTAGCCCCCGGAGCCCCCGCCCCGATGGCTGCTGGGCTCCTGGGCAGACACACTGCTGCACCTGGGGAGCAGAGCATGGCCTCGGTGGCAGCGGGAGTTTTCGGGTGACCTTTTGTCTCTCCCATGTGAGGGAGCTGCTTGCTAGATGGGAGAGGAGTCCAGAACCCCCAGGGCCTTTGTCTGCGTGTCAAGAGGAAGCTCAGGTGGGAGAAATCATTCCTCTGTTGAGTCACCTATTTGGGGAGCTCAGACGTGTGTCAAGTTTGGGACAGCTCTGATGACCATCAGTGCACTGTCCGTTGGCCAGGTCATGAACTTGACCACCTCTGTGTGCACTGAGACCGGCGACAGGGCGGACGCGGACCTGGCTAGGAGGAAGTCACGGTGGAGAAGAGGAAGGGAGGGGACGCAGAGCTGAGGTCCATCTGGGGACTGTCTACCCCCACGCCCTCACTGCTGCTGCCTCCCAGCGCGCCTGCAACCCCCCAACCCACACGTCGAGCTCCCCGACGCTGGATTCACGTTCTCCCCTCTGCTGCAGTGGGTGGTGACTTACAGACTGTCCAGGGGGGCTGGCTCCAGTTCTGAGAGTGAGACCCCTTCTTCTTCCAGCAGCTTGAAGACTTCTCCTACGGTAAGACCCCAGCACAGGGGCGCTTCAGCTGAGATCTCAATCAAAACAGAACGCTGAGGAAACCCGCGTCATCTGCATCCCTGGCAACCTGTACCTTAGCTCCAGAGACCCGGACGTCCACCTCCTGGCTTATGGGTGGAGGGTCAACCTGGCCACTGAGGCGAGGAAGGACTCCACTTCTGAGGACCCTCAGAAGAGCCAGCCAGCTCCCCAGACCCGCAGCCCACCCTCCACCCTCCCAGCAGCGTGGCGGGGGGGTGGATATACCCATCCCCGGACCCGCCGCAGTGTGGTTGTGGCTCCCCATGAGGTGGAGAGGGGCATGTGTTCATGCAGGGGGGCCCCCTCCCCACCCCACTGTCTGGGTTCCTGAGCATTTTCTTTTCTGTATTTTAAGCACTTGGGAGACTGTGAGGCTGCTCAATTCAAAAATGGGGTGACTGGCCCATGTGAGTCAGAGTGGATGACGAGAATCCCCACCCGTCTCTTCACGCAGACTGTTTTAGAGCAAACACCCGGCCCTTTGGCCACACGTCCCCCAAGACAATGGAACAGCTGTGAGGTCTGATCTGGCACCCAGGGGAGGGCCACCGGCTGCCTCATGCATAGGGGCTGGCAGCTCCAGCCAGAGCCTGCAGGCAGGACCCGGGCAATACCACTACGTGGGACCCACACCTGTGGTGACAACACAATCCACATCACGAGTCTGGTAGTCCTGGCTGAAAAAGTCTGGTCTGGAAGCTTCCAGCTTTTTGTCATAGCAGGGCATGACCGTCACGTGGTAGATCCTGTCCGGGGTCAAATGCTGCAGGGAAATGTGAAATTGTGAAGTCGCTACCTGACCTGATAGTAAAGGAGCCCGCAGGATAAGGTGGGGGGTGACACCACAGGCGCGGCCTGGGACACAGCCGGCCAGCGGCCAGGATGGGACCGAGATGCCTCGTGTGGCCATGTGGACATCGGAGGTCTTGGCTCATCTTTGAGAACAATGGCAGTGAATCGTTCACAGCTGGAATATTCTTGTTACCTGCTGCTGGGCAAAGAAGTCCTTGACCAGGGAGCCCATGACCTGCTGTGGGGACCGAACAGTGCTGAGGTAGGGGATGAGGAAGCTTCCGTGCGTCTTCTCCGCGTAGCAGATCCAGCCTGAGGCCGACACGGGGAACAAACGGGGTGTCTGAGCAGCTGGGCAGGGAGTGGCATGACCTTCTGGGGTGCACCGGCTTGTAGGGGGAGTTTTGGTCCCGTTAAAGAACGTGCCTACTCTGCTGTCACTGCCGTGTGCTTCTAGCATCTGTGAGATCACAGTCTTGGGGAACTCGGGTGACCCCAGGTGGCTCTCAGGGCAGCTCCTTCTGCCGAGGCGGCCACTGTGGCAGAAGCCTCGTGTGGCCCCACCCAGCGTTCCTGTCCCCCGTGTCCCGCAGCGTGAACACACCTGGGCAGGCGGACGCAAGCACAGGCAAGGCCTGCTGGGAGTCGGCCTGTCCTCGGAATCTCTGCACAAACTCTCGCTGGCTCTCGAGGAGACTGAAGTTCCTCGAGAAGGAGGTATCGAACACGTAGTGCACCCCTGCAACACAAGCACCCGCCTCACCGCCACGAAGCGTGGCTACATCGCAAGGCCCCGATCACGCCCCTGGGAGCGGGGACGCCACTTTCCAGGGGCGCTTCAGCTGTCTGCACAGCAGCTGTCCGGGCCAGGCCACACCTCCTGTGCCCGCCCCATGTCCTCCCAGGCCTGCTCCTGGCTCACAGAGATCGACCAAAGTCTTTGGGAGCCAGAGCGTGACAGGGGACCAGGGAAACGGGCCTCGAGGGTGATAGTTTAAAAACAATAAGGGGGGAGCAAATTCCAGAGAATTCCAGGAATTCCAGACTGGAGGAGGACAGCCACGATTCAGATGGCTGCCTCTTAAAAGGCTCAGCTCTCATTTGTCAAACCCAAACTTCATACTGAAGTCAACTCAGAACGGTTTCTGGTGCGTTTGAGTTCAGTGAGTCAGAGGCCGGAGGAGCCCCTCGCCGGACCCCGCACACGCTGAGCTCAGCACGCACGCGAGGTCTGCTGCCTACCGATTTTCTTGAAGAATGCAGTCAGCTTCCTGGCAGTGTCTGTAGGGTTCAGCCCGAACTGTGCAGCCAGCGATGCCCTGGACTGGGGCGAGACGGACACGACAACCAGCCTCTGCTGATCGGGGGCCGCCGTCTGCAAAGCAGAGGACACATGCTCACTCGCTGTGTTGTACAGACTCCCAGGGGGCCAGCGCTGGGGGAGTGCGTGCTGCCTCCGGCAGGGCGTGTCGCTTCCACGTACACGCAGGGCCCCACACCCCGGTGTGAAATCCTGACCAGCAATTCACGGGCATCCTGCCGACGACACCTACAAGAGGCAGGAGGCACCAGATGGGCTGCCCTTGGCAGCAAGAGCAAAGGACACTGGGGCGACATCAGGTTAAAAAAGTCTCAAAGACGCCCCCCACTTGCCTTATTGGCATCTATAACCTTCCGCAGCTCCTCGTGGCTTTGCTGAGTGATGAGCACGGTCTCTGCCGAGGTGACACAGCCACTGCATGCCAGGCAGTCATCCAGCGAGATCTTGGCCTTCTCCAGCTTCCGGGTCCCTCCATCCTGGAAAGCACAAGCACTCGGGACTCAGAGGGCCTCTACGCAAAGACACGAGCACTCAGCATAATGGAACCTGCAGGAAGCCTTTATTCTCTGGCTCACAACACCGACAACCAATGTGGTAGGAGGCTGGCTTTGTGTGCCACTGAATTTTTAAAAATTAAATATTGGTTGGGGCACCTGGGTGGCTCAGTCTGTGAAGTGTCCAACTTTGGCTCAGGTCAGGACCTCACGGTTTGTGGGTTCAAGCCCCGCATCAGGCTCCGTGCTGACAGTTAAGAGCCTGGAGCTTGCTTCAGATTCTGTGTCTCCTTCTCTCTCTGCCCCTCCCCTTCTCAAGTTCGCTCTCTCTCTCAAAAATAAACATAAAAAAATAAAAAGAGAGTGTCAG